ACAGGCACTACGTAGATTTTCTGTATGGCTCCTATAACCTCACAGCAAGTTCAAGGGCACAAAACACCTTGATATTAACAGCAGTTGCTTGATATTTCTCTTGCTATTTGCCTGTTTTCCCCCTTTGTCTTTTATTCTTCTGAGACGCAACAGCACAATAACCTTATTTATTTATTATTTAACCTTTCGGAGACAGGCTCTCATGTTCAGCTTGGCCTCAAGCTCATGGCAATCCCCCTGTCTCAGCCTCCCCAGAGCTGGGATTACAGGCATGCACCACCACGCCTGGCTATTAACCTTAAGTTTCCTCTCCACGGGGATTTGCTGCCATGCAGTAGCCTTATAGAAGTTTATTTTTATATGTAGCTATGAAAGGATTAAAAAAAAATCACAATTGCCTTAGGATATTTAAGGCTAATAAGCCGAGAGAGTCCTGACAGACTTCTTCAAATAAAACGGCATCTTAGAAAAATGATATTTTCTTTTGTTTCCTAATAAAGGTATCTGCTAATATCATTAAGCTCTTTTCTTCCTGGAGGGGATTAAATTAGGGGATCCAGACACAGAATCAGAGAGTTCTCTTCATTACCTCCAAACTCTTCTTTCACTTAGGGGAGGTAAAGAGTTTAATATGCTGAATCCTGAGATGTTTAGACATTACAATACCCCGCGAGGACGGCTTTATGTTGTCGAGACATAATGGATATTGTTATTAGGTATTTAGGAACAGATATTTCAGTTCCCACTGAAAGACTCCCACTTTTTAGCAGAACATTAAGAAAAAATAATGGATGCACAGTACGTTTATCATGAATTAATCATGAGCCTTTGTAGACACCTACTTTTAATTAGCTACTCAGTCTGTCAATTTTTTTTTTAGCACCGTTCCAGCTGGGTCGAAAGACTGTCAATCTCCAATGCAGAATAAATGGCAAAAAAAAAATTTACTTAAAACATTTCCCTGCTACATGTACAGTTGCTTTCCAGATGGCTACAAATAAAACTACTTCTTAGCAGGTGCTAAAGGCTGGAAGACAGAGGTCGGGCTCCAGGTTATCAATGACTTTGGAGCCACAAATTGGTCTTGAAGGCACCTGAAAAGTTTGTTTCCAACACTAAGCAAAGGAACCTGGGCTCCCTTTAAAGGACAAATTATGGAAATCACAATGGCATGTGAATTTGCAAAGCCGCTCAGCTTCAATAGTGGGTACAAGCTGTGGTTTTAATCCTGCATGGAAAAGATGCTTCTTACAAAATGACTGACTGCCGGAAGGTTTGAATTTAACAGAAGACACAAACAAAATAAAAACTGAAAAGGTCATTGTGTTTTTGTGTCTTTTTGTCCTCTTTATTTCTCATTCTAACCTAGACCCCAGTGACTACGGCAGGGAGAAGGAGACTAAGTCAGCTCCGCAGCGTGGAGAGCAGGCTTGCCCCCCTTTAGCCCTCCTGACGCTCGGGGTTTGCTGGTGCTGCCAATGCATGGAGGTGGCATAGTACCTTCCCTCCCCTCCACCCATTCTGAGCCATAGTCTGACGATCAGAAAGGTCTCCAGGTCACACCAGATTGTCTCCAGAAAGCAGAAGCCATCCTGGGAAAGGAAGACCTAGGGTACATCTGTAACCTCTTACTCCAAAGCTGTGTTTAGTTATTAAAGCCACCCTTAAATTAACAGGTTGTATCTTAGTGGATTTTATTATATGTGATAATATAAGCAAAAACTTTTATAGACAAGGAGATTATACAGAAACCATTGTTCATTTTCTGTTAGTTGGCTCTAAATACCCTGTAATAATGTCATTCTTTTGAATGGTTTTACATTGTCTTGATATGTTTGGTGCTACAATATACGAAGTTATACTCAAAGATTTCAAGGAAAGAGACACTATGGTAAGTACTTTTATGTCGGGATTATCTTGTGGTGAAACACTATTTTGTTTAAATGGTTATGCTTTGACCTGCGCTGTTCTGTTGTTATGCCCTCTTTTATCTCAATCTCCTTTTTTTAATTATTTATTTTATTTTTATTATTTTAATTAAGGGAAAAATAAATAAAAGGCAGGATACATTATAGTAACCTACTCTGATTTCCTATTAACTTGGTTTGAAATCCTGTATTGCCCTCACCATCTTGTTTTGACTGATTTTCCTCTATTCTGCTTAGCTTGATAGTACCAAGTTCGAAAGTATAGGCAACAACTGTGAAGACAATAAGATTCATTGTGACGCCCATTCTGGTTGACTATTATCTTCTTTTAAAGTCCTGTAATGTCTCCAATATTTTGGTTTTATTCTTTACTGTTTTGTTCAATTTTATTATAACTGATGATATAGGCAATTCTTCTTAAGATAGCAAGAGGCAGTATGGTAACCATTGTTGATCACCTTGTATTTTGTTTTTACATTATCTATTATGTCCATCATTTTGATTTGACTGACTCTGTTCTGATATGTTGCATTTGGTTTTACTCTCTTCAAAAAAAGTAGTAAGAACTGTGGGAGTAATAAAACCCAAAATGTGTAATTGTCAGTGTACAAAAGAAAAGAAAAGAAAAGAAAAGAAAGTGCTCTAAAGGTTATAACTGCATGTATATTTAAGTGTATAAGATAGATAACCATATTACTGCGTTTTGTTGGATCATTGAACACAACTGTTTGCAGTCTCACTGTTTGAAGGTCCACTTTATATGCTTTAATTTTGTAACTTGAACAACTATTTCTAGCATGAGAATATGTAGTCTATTAACTAGTCGTTTCTTATTGTTTATCTTTTAAATTTTGTATTACTTGTACCCTTTTTTTTTTCTTTTTCTCCTTAAATAAAATTTAAAAGCCACCCTTAAGCCTGAGTCTCTGGCTTATTTCACTTAGCATTGCTATGGTCTCAAGGTATAGCCATTTACCTACAAGCGAGTCAAATTTTATCCTGTCATTCCAGTCTGACATGCCTGTAATCCCAGCACTAGGGAGGCTGAGGCAGGAGGATTATTGAGAGTTTGAGACCAGCCTGGGCTGCAAAGTGAGCTCATGGCCAGCCTGAACTGCCTAGCAAGACCCTGTCTCTAAATGACCAAAAAAAAAAAAAAAAAAAAAAAAGTGAAATCCGTCCTTCTCTATGGAAGAGTGGCAATCCATTGTGTATAAACACCAAATTTGCTTCATAAATTCATCTACTGATGGCCAAAGAGGCGACTTCCGAGGTTTAGCTGTCATGTACTGTGCCGTTATCAGTGTGAATACACAAGGACCACTCTTATATAAGTTCTTTAACTCCTTGGGGGGAAATATGCGGAAGGGAAATGGCTGGATCACATGACTGGCTTTAGCTTTACGGAGAATCTCCATACTGGTCTCCATGGTGGCTGTACTCGTACATTTCCACCAATAGCGCAGAAGGTTTCAGACATAGTTTGAGACGTAAATGTCTCATGGTTTCTCATAATGAGAAAACCACAGTATAAATAAGGAGCAATATAAAAAGAGAGCTAAAAAGGAGTAGGGGGGTGGTTCTTTCTCCAAGGGGTAGGGATCAAGAGATGGGTGTGAAGGGAGGGCAAGAGATGACACAAGAAATTAAGATGTTATGTGTAGGCGCCAACTTCACACAAGGGATAGAAACACCCAGCACAGCACACATGCGCTCACAAATTTTAAAAAGCGATTCCTCACTTTCTAGAGTGGTCCTAGGGAATGGTCCTTTCCTCTTCCCTGCACCTGCTGGGGCCACTCTGAATGGCCACAGATGCCTCCCTCTACGTCACAATGACATGACGTCACAATGACATGACGTCATAATGGCGTAATGGCATGGCATCATAATGGTATGACGTCATAGGGTCAGGCTCCGTCCTAGAAAAGCTGTAGGCACAGGGATTGTGGCCAGGAGACTTTTGTTCATCTTTCTATGTGTGCTTTTTTAATGTTAAGTGCTGGAGATGAACCCCAGGGTCCCCTAGGCTTAGCCTGGGCTCTACTCCTGAACTCCACCTTGAGGCCCCCAGAGGCACTGGAAACTTCTCAAAGGATGACTGGACACCGCACATACCTACTTGTACCAGAAGAGGCTCTGTTGCTCAGGCACTGACGGGTTGCAGCAGAAAAAGCAGTAGGTGGAACCCACTGGTGACATGAGCATTCCTTCTGCACCCCAGCTGTACTGCTTTATTCCACCAAAATTCCCTCAAAGGCACAGGAGATCCACTGATCACTTCTCAAGACTTCCCACATGCTGTGCCATTTCGATTTGGATCTGGAATGTTTCTCCTGATATTCCTGTGCTCAAAGCTTGACCTCCCTCACAATGGGTTCAGAACTGCGGGGGGAGGGGAGATGACTGGATCACCATGGATCTGGTCTCATCGATGTGCTGATGGATTCATAACCTAATGGGCTACTGGGAGAAGGTGTCAACTTTAGCAGTTGGGTCTAAATGGAGAGTGTACATCACTGGGAACGTGTCCTGGAAGGGCAAATGTCCTACCTGGCTCCTTCCTTTTATTTTTATTTTAGCCATCCCAAGGAAACCAGCTCAGTTGTACTGCATGATGTCCTGCCTCAAAACGCTGTAGACATACAACCATGGACTGTACCCTCTGAAGCTGTGACCCAAAAGAAACCTTTCCTCTTTTAAGTGCATGCATCTTCAGGTATTTTGTAACAGCAATGGAAACCTAACAAACGTGCCATCTGCTCCCATTTATCACACTGTGGCTGCTCTTCCCAGCAGACCTCTGTATACACCCTGTCTCTTACAAACTGGCAGTGTTCCAACATCACTTCCCTTTGGCAAATGGGATCTTTCACTGGAAAGTCCTTTGGGCAAAAGGGACAGAGAGGATAGTTCCACGTTTTCATGTCCGTAATCATCAGAACATTATAGAACTCCAGTTCCAAGGCCACCGTTCAATGCAAAAATCACAACTCAGGTTTCAAGTGAGTGAAACACTTTCCTGAAGAGCCACGCTACATCCAAAGCACAGCCCCACAAATGAACACTTACCCTGAGGTCAGTTTAAGAACCGCCAGCGGTTATCCTGCTGTGGGCCTTCTGTGATGGGGATCACCATGTGCAGATGTAGAAAGGAAACTCTCAGCAGACGACAACTGGGGACGACAGGCTCATCCTGTGAATTCATGCAAAAGGAGAAGAGTTGGATGGTGGAGAACCACATGGAGATGGACGTGTAGGAGAAGAGCTCTTTCTTACACTGGGAGATTCCCCTTCAGAAATTGCTTCTTTCCGCTCTACTTAACTCAGATAATTAGGTCTCTGCTGGCTGTCTCAAGACGCTGAGAAGCTCTCATAAAGGTTCCATATGAATCAGATTCTCCCATTGTTAAGTGTCATATCATAGGATCATTTTTCCCTTGAGCCCCCCCCCTTTTTCATTGGACTTTTATTTGCACGATGCCTTGTTTCCTTGTCTTTTTGTCCTGTATCTGCATATATTACCAAATATGTTATGTAGATTTTTTTCCAACCAACCAGCATTTTGGTTTCCCTTTGGCCATGCTGAAGATGGAACCCAGAGCCTCGTGTGCTAAGGGAATACTGATCCCTGGCCTACATCACAGCCTCCAACAGGTTCAAGAAGCACAAGTACAGGCCCACAGCTTTCGTTAGGCACATCAAGCTCTCAAACATTTGGGGGACTGATTACCCCCAGGGCGCCCGGCATGCTAACCAAATGTTCTACCACTAAGCTTCATGCCAGCTCCACTGGTCACCTTCTGAATAGACTTGGGATCACCAGTTATGGCTCGCCTCTTTGGTCAACACTGCTTCATGTTCAAACATTTGAAAGAGTATCTTTGATGCACGCAAAAAACATGAAAATCAAATTTCAGTGTCTATGAACAAAGCCTAATTGCACAAAATCATATGTATTTGCCTGCATTTGACTCGTGGATAGTTTTGGGGCCGCCGAGTCAAAACCAAGTAGACTGTGAAACACGTCCCTTGGCCCCCAAAACCCGCAAATTATTTACTTTTTCTCCTTTAGAGAAAGAGTTGTCTGACCTGCGACATACAGAACCCTACATAGGAATTGAAGGTGAGTTCAGAAGCAAGCCAAAGAGATACGGTTCAACTTATGGAAGACATTTCTGTTTCAGTTGCTGATATTCAGATCACAAACTAGTATCTGTCTTACAAAATTCGCTAACATACAAACCTACTATTTGCATTTTAAAATGTGAACTGTAATCCTACTTGGAAAAAGAGATCCGGGAGAGATCATAGGGTTTGAGACCGTTGACAACTGCATAGATTTTTGTAAACTGAGCTCTTGCTTTATTGAAGCTAAGTTTCAAGGTTCCGGAGATTTGGCTCACTTGCTTATGCACTTGCCTGACTGTAACTTTCCAGCAGTAATTTCTGAGGTTCAGTCATTATCCAGGAAATGTTATCCCCCCTCCCCAGAGATGACACTTGAAACTGTTAATTAATCAATCTTGAAGCATGGCTTTGCACGTTAGAGCCTCATACACATGGAACCCTGTGCAGTTGACCCTGCTCCTGACCTTCTCTCTGTAGGAATGACAGCACCCCTGGGGGAGGCCAGTTCTTTTTTCTCCATCACCCTGAAATGCCTTTGAAAGTCATGGCTGGTACAGGGGCTATGATCTGATCTGAGCCACCAAGTGCTCACATCAAGGCAGGTACAGATCATCGTGATCTTTTGCCCACGCTTTTGATTGGCAGAGACTGGAAGGTATCAGCTTGACTCTCAGTGTGCTACCCACCACCGAGGAATGAAGAGAAAAAGTCGAAACATATCCCAGTGTGATCACTGTCGAGAGTCTGCGTTTACAGAGCAGCACAGTGGCAAAGTCTGACGTCCCATGCTAGGAGGACATTATTTTTCATCTTTTTTTACTTGTGTACAGGACACAATATATACATTACTTGCATGAAGTTCGTGCATGCATATAACACACCTTAATCCCCTTCCCCTTCATCCACCTCTAATCCCCAACCACTTTGAGAAAGTCCCATTTCCTTTCTTCCTGTTACCCGTGATTTTGCTTTTTAGTTATGTTTTGGGTTACTCATTATGGAAAATTATCATGAGATAATTAAGCTGTGTGCCTGATATGTTTCATTTAACACCCTGCTCTCAAGGTGAGTCCATCTGCCTACAAATGACTGATGCTGATCTTGCTTTATGGCAGGATAGGATGCCTTTGTGTATGAATACCACGTTTTCTTTATTCACATCTGCTGATAGGCCGTTTCCAAGATGTAGCTAATATGAACTGTGATGCTATTCACATGGGCATGCAAGCACTACTGTAACTGTAACAATACAGTAACTTTAACTCTTTTGGAAAATACTTAGAAGAGGAATGGCCAGGTCAAGTGGAATTTCTTGTTTGATTTTTTTTTTTTTTTTTTTTTTTTTTTTTTTTTTTTTTTTTTAGGAAATCTCCATTGTGATCTCCGTGGTTGTACTAATTACATTAATTTATCAACTAATTTACTAATTTATCCCATAGCCTTGCCAGCATTCGGAAACAGGATTTGAGAGGTCCTAACCCAAGGGCAATATTGTCCTTCGGGGACAAATATTTCTGGTTGTCACCTCTGGGCAAGGTCTAATAGCAGCCTGTGAGTGGGTAGATGTCAGGGATGTTGCTATGATGCACAGGAGTCCTGGGACAGACACAAACCAGCCCAGCCCCCATGCCTGACAATGTACCATCTCTTCCCAAATGACCATGATATCAAAAGTTAAGAATTCTGCATCAGACCAGTGATCCAATTCATATCCATGAAGAGACCCAGCACACACACTGGGACATGAGGTGGGTGGCAGGTTACTGTCTCTGTTTTATTGGACAATCTCAGATAGCAAACGTTCATGCTGGTTGCTCTGTGACTTTAACACATTATATTGAATTTAAATAAAAATTAATAACCCTAATTATTGTCTCATCCATGTGACTGAAGAATACCAAAATGTTAACTCTTTTCTATTAGGAGGAACTTCTATTTGAACGTATTTATGACCTCCAAAATAACCACTTATTGGGTCAAGGATGTAGCTCAACGGCACAGCGCCTGCCTGGCAAGCATGCTGCCATGAGTTTGATTCCCAGTATCAAAACAATTTAAAAAATAAAAATAAAAATAACCAGTATTCGGGCCAGGGATGTAGCTCAGCGGCATAGTGCTGCCTGGCAAATGTGGGGCATGAATTCGATTCCTGGTACCAATAAATAAATAAATAACCACAATTTTCCAATCTCCCTTCCAGAGCCTGTTTGCCTGTTATCTTCATTTGCTTGGCCACATTTTTCAGTCTCCGCCATTTTTCTCGCTCCCTTCTCTAAATGAGGTTGCAGGTATACGTCATCACTGACAAAGATAACGACCTAAGGATAGTGTTGGAATCTGCTGGCCTTTGTCCAGTATTCCAGGATGCAGAGAGCTCTGAGGATCACACGATCTTTGCAATTTCCATTTTGTTTAACTGGCCAACCAAAGCCAACCTGAGTCAGGCCTTAGCCACCAGCTCTACCAACTGTTACATCGGTAGCCATGTTTTCCTTAGCAGCACATCAACGTGCACAGAAGGAACAAGTTGTATCTCTACTGAATTCTCTTTTCATTCTTCCTTACAGAACACAGTCTAGGGAATATTTTCCCAGCACCTATATTGTACGGGCCATTTTAAGCCATTGAGAACTGATTCAAATCATACAAGAGGAAGGTGTAAGTAGGTTTCATGTAAACACTATGCCTGGGATTTTGGTATCCAAGATGGAGAGACTCCACGACCCACACCACAAAGAGAGACATGGAGGGAAGACGGTCTTGTGTTGCTTTTCGTGTGTGTGACTTTAAATCTAAATATACTTTTGAAAATGTGAAAATGAAAAGGTAAAGACATTCCATGAGTAATTGCAAATTCATGGGCAAGAGCCCAGAATGCATAGTTAGTGACTAGAGATGCAGCCAATGGTCCAGGAAGACAGGAAGGAAACAGAAAGATAAGCTGATGAAGTCCAACAGGTTGAACTGTTGTGAAGCAGCCAATAATCCTGGTTTGTGTAAAACTGATGAGTTCCAGTTTCCAAGCTGGGATAGCCCCAGGCATAAGGGGATGAGTTGGATCCCCTACTCGTGAAAGATTCCAGAATATTCCATGCAGAACCTGCATCCCAGAATATTCCATAGAGAACCTGCATTCCAGAATATTCCATGGAGAACTTGCATTCCAGAATATTCCATGGAGAACCTACATTCCAGAATATTCCATGTAGAACATGCATTCCAGAATATTCCATATAGAATCTGCATGGAGAACATCTCTAGTGGATGCTGTGGCATGAGCAAGACCTAAGCTGAGTTTAGTTATTGTTCCTTCCACCTCGCTTCTGGTCACATTCATGGCTGGCTAACACTCAGCCACATCTCTCTCTGGACAGTGTCTTTTGGCCAAGGACAGTAGCCTCTCCCAAAGTGGCATTATCATTCCTATTGGGCAGCCTAAAGACAAGGAATGATCATAAAAGTTACATCTGTCTTTCCTCAAGAAGGGACAGAGGGACTTTCCTGGCTTTAGAGTGTCCTTGGAAGTGGCCTCAGGTCAATGTGGGACCATTGGTGGAACTACTGCCTTGGCTCGTTCTTCTTACCCTACTCCTCTATAAATGTCCATCCTAGGAGTAAATGCCCCAGAAGACCTCTTGAGCATAGCTTTCATTTCAGAATCTGTTCCCCGGGAGTCAATATAAGCTACTATCTGATTGAAAACAAACAAAGAAAAGAGATAGAGGGAAAAAAGAACAACCACAGAAAACCTTAGTTACCAAGATATAGCCTACCTGATCCACACAGGTACTATTCTAGAAAAATAACAAAAATCCACATTTGGGCAGGGAGAGGGGATTCAAAGGTGGGCTGAAATATCAATAGTGGGTCAAGGCTTCCAGCAAATGCAAGATAGAGTCGTCAAGAACTGGGAAAAGCCAACATGCAAGATGCCAGAAATAAGAATTCATTACACCTATCTAACAATGTGCCAAAAATGTAGTCGTATTACTCAAGGATCACTAGAGAAAAGCATTTAGTGAGAGATATACACATAGCAAGAAGGTAGAAGATTGGCTTATAGTG